TGTGTGTGTGTGTGTGTGTGTGTGTGTGTGTGTGTGTGTGTGTGTGTGTGTGTGTGTGTGTGTGTGTGTGTGTGTGTGTGTGTGTGTGTGTGTGTGTGGAAAACATTACAGTTTGGACTGTATTTAGAAGTTGCTCAATGCTATCAAAATTTTAAGCTAACATCAAATGAATCATATTATTAAAAAAATGCAAATTGCGGAAACAAATAAATGAATTTAAGACAAATTTAAATTTAAAAATCACTGAAAGTTATTGAACATCAAAACATGCAAAAAACGTGACGAAACTAGAACACAATCATTCGCATGGTTCATTAATGTCAGAAAAGTCATTTGAGGGATAGAGACGATGATGGTGCTCTACAACTTGTAGTAGTGCTTGTTTAGTCTCTTCACATTGTTGTAGCTGACCAAATCATTTAGAAGAGCCTTATCATTGACGGCCGCCTCAGAGGCTCGCGGAGCCTCTATCCAGACTCTGGAGTAAATCAAGATAATAAAGAGAGACACTTCATGGAGACCAGTCTCCTCACTTTTTGTCAGTTTCATTTGCTTCCGGAACAACAAGATTTTCATCACATAACATGTGATACCTAGAAATCTGGACAAAACTAAAAAACTTATAACTTTGAAACTAAAAGTGCAATTTTATTTCTGTAAAAAGATAATTAAAGTTAAGCATATGAAGCTTCAGATTTAAAAAAATTATAAGTTTATCATGCCATGTCTGCGAACTTTGTCCACTCGGCTGAAAGAAGCCTTGCCAAGTCGATGTACGCGATCTTGACTGACCCAATTTATGCAGTAGCTGATCCTGTAATTGAGCTGGTCCACAGTATTTGCTCTCCAGCCACGATCATATACTCTTTGCTTGAGTTCTGACCAAAAGTCTTCGATTGGTCGGAGTTCTGGCACATTGGCAGGGTTCTCCTTAGGCACGAATTCGATGTTATTTGCTTGGAGGAACTCCTGCGTCTTCTTTGCGTAATGAGACGTAGCGAGGTCAGGCCAGAAAACGATCTCATCGTTCTTATGAACTGTTTCAATGAACGGAATCAAGCGCTTCATCAAGCACTTCTGGATGTAGACACCTTGATTGATCGCTTGGCCCAAAGGTGTCACCAGGTGCTTCGACGGGCTGTCCTCGGACATAGCAATCTAAACAAGTACCTTTGGCTCGAACTTAGACTTGTCCTTGAGTTTAACAGCTTTTGGAGTCATTTCGACGTCAGACGTGTAGAAACCAGCGTTTCCTGATAGCTCATTATTGCTCAACAAAAAATAGGACTCGTCGTCGATGATCACCTTCTTTTTCCGGAAAACTCTGGCCAGGTGAGCACACTTCGGACGAGCGGCTGACTTCTGTTGCCGAGTTCGATCCAGAACTTTTTTCTTTTTGTATTTGATTGTTGTCTTGGTGCTAATTGTTTTTGATATGTGCTTTTGGCTGACACCATACTCGCAAACTAGCTGACGCTGGCTAACTCTGTCACTATGATCAATTCGCTTTTTCAGCATGGTGATTGGCTTTGTGTTCATCTTGATTGCCACCCGTCCAGTTCCACGCTGTCTTTCTGGACCTATTTTGAGCGTCTTGCGCTGCAGAATATCATACAGGGTCGACCTTGATGCGCCTTCGATCATGAAGTGTCTCACAATCTCACTTTTCTTCATATTCAGATGCAAATCGATTAACGCGTACGCGCGCTTTCTGAGGTCTTCCTGTTTTGAGATAATTTTCTTTGCCATTATAAATAATTGTTTGCTAAAAGATATATTGCAATTTGTAGAGAATTAAATTTACTACAACATAGCATAAGTTGCAACAATTTTGCAACACTCCTTAAACAATTTATGTCGACCGACCTTTTGTCCGAATTTCTAGGTATCACATGTTAAATAGCCTTGGCCATCCACCTGGCGTGATGGTATGCACCAGGCTTCCTGATTGGAGCACATAATTCTCCCGTCAGAAAATACAATGACAGTTGACACAGTTTGGCATAATCATCATGTATACTCTTTTGAGCCAAGCTAGACTGCATGAAGGTTATGGTAGCATCTTTCCAATTTTTATGCTCATCTACTCTCCGATCCTTGAAAGCATTTATTTCATCTTTTGAGATGAAGGACAATTGTTCTCGAAAATGTTTGAATAGCTGAATATCTGGTCCAGATGATGCAGCCATAACTTGTTTTGAAGGCTGTAGCCAAAATCAGCTCCATAATGCATCTTGCATGCAGACATCACATTATGAGGTTGGCCCAGTTGTACCTCGATTAATTGGCAACAACCAGCATGGATCCCAGTGTTGTATGATGTTGTGTCAAAGGAAATAGCTTCGATTCTTTCTTCGAGTTTCCACTCTTGAACAATCCTGACAGTTGCATTAGCCATGGCAGCTCCGGTACTCGATGATAACTTTGGTATTGCCAGCAGTTTGTCGAATTCAATATCTGGGCTTGAAACAAGAATTGGCAAACATACCACCTTTAAGTCATCTCCATTTCCTGTACAGTCTGGGAGCAACTTGCCATCCCAGTGTAATACTAAAAAGTCATCCTTCTGTTGAACTTTTTTTTCGCTAAATTATAATTCATGTAGACTACTCACATAAATCTCACATAAAGAAAAATATTATTGATATTCTAAAATTATTTTGGAAAAAATATTTTTGCTATTGAATTCTACAAGGTTTAATTATCTAAATAACATTTTTTCAAAATTTTCACTTTTTTTTTTTTCATTTTTTACCATAATAATGGCTGGGTACCACCTTAAGATTAACTATTTGTTCGGCAAAGTTACATATTTATTTTGAAACATATATTTAGAGTATAAATAATCAAATTCAAGTGTCTATATAAAAAAAGTTTCTTAAATCTTTTTTTATATAGACACTTGAATGCAGTGCAGTTCAGGCATTTATAGTCTATGAACCATCCTGGCCCTTACAAATCTATCTCTTCTCTTAAACCCAAAAACAGATGCAGGTGCATCTGTTATCTTTTTTACTGCTCTTTCGCAAGACTATTTGTGTAGGGGAAAGTAAGGTGCTTTAAAAGATGTTTCTAAAGAAATTGTCAAGATCTTTTGTAGGCATTTGACAAGTAAATACATGTTCTGATTTATCTCCTTTTTCTGAGTGGGTCAGTTCTTCTGTGGAAATAGCTCCCAGATTGAGTTAGACCTTCTTCTTGGCCTGAATCAAGTGTCTCCATACTCCGAACTTTACCTCTATGATGGCTATAATGGCAAACCTTGGGTCCATCTTGACTGAAGTCAAACATGTAATCAGTTTATAGCAGAGAGATAAATCTGTTGACATAGAACTTAGAATTTTCATAAAGTCTTTCCATACTATTCATTTTGGTCCATTGAAACCAACCTTTGAATTGGTGGGTCCATTCAGAGTGACAATAATGTGCCTCAAAGGAATTTCATTGCAATGTAGCATACAAATACACCAGAAACACTTTTTATCCAACAATTGTTCAAGATTTATCAACAAACCTTTTTTGTCAACAAACTCCATCTTTCCCTGGACCAGTTACAGCTTTTGTTGAATCTCCTCCTATTACTTTCTAGAGTTTTATGTACTTTCCAAGAAACCATCCAATTAAATAATCCAATAGCTGCTTGATTAACAGGCTTAAACAAGCAGCTATTGGATTATTTAATTGGCTTGGGAGGCATTGCCTTTATGGGTATAAAATGTGTAATATAGTGACTGTCAGGTTCAGACATGTGTTCTTCTTTCACAACCCTTTGATGAAATCATTTGTTACAGGGTTGTGCTTTAAAATTCTGGCAAAATCTTTTCTGCCATCAGAAAATATACCTTTGATAGGTTTTAATTGAATCTTCATTTGTTCAGATGTCTTTCTTTAGTCATTACTGCTTTTCAAGCTCTAACAACTTTCTTAGGATCTACAGCCAGATGGGACATTCCAGGTGTTAAAAAGTTACCCAGAATAAGGTCATGAAGAAAAGCCGAAACTACTGCTAATGTTGCAACTGGTAAAATATCAAATCTCAAAGAAGCTTCAGCACTATTACTAATAGATATAAAATTTTGTTTCCAGTTATCATTTGAAGCAGGTTCATTGTCCATTTCTATTCTCTTTGAAATCATCACTTGATTTCGAATAGAATAGAAAGACTCAACAAGATCTTTATTTTTAGAAGTTTCTTCTTTTTTTCTGATTTTTTTTTTTTTTTCTAGACTTGACTTTCTTTTCAGCTTACTCTTTTCTAAAGAAACCTGTCTAGCTGTTTCCTTAGTATCTTTACAAGTCATTTGATATTTTGATAGTGACCCAATTTTTTCTCCTTCAGCGTTTAACCAAATAAGTTCACTTTTTGGAATCTTTTTTTCCCTCGGACCGGTACACTGAATACGTTCAAAATCTAGACTACTATTTAATTTTGAGCACTTTTCATTACATAAAGAGATTTCACATTTACATGATGTAATGTCAAGCAATTGATCTAATTTGATTTTCCAGGTAGAAACAATTTTTTGGGCTGCTTTTCCTCTAGAAATATCACTAAACTTATTCCAGGCTGATTCTATTTTCTGTACCAAAGATATCTTGTTTAATACCACAGGAAACTTGAAACGAGCATTTGATCTTGTCTACTGTTGAAGAACCAACTCTGCTAATTGTACACAGTTCTCTTACAGAAATCAGCCTCCTTCAAAATAAAACAAATAATAAAAGGTTTGGTTCAGAATACAAGTAAATATAAACAATATTTTTGCAATCTTTAAATGTGACTTTTCTTTACATACTTGTCAATATCTTTTTCAATGAGCAAACATTCTTGTATTAAAAGACTCTTCATCTGGATATCTCTAATAGTAGGCCCTTTTTTATCCAAATTGAGTCTAGTAATTTTAGAAGCACTCATTCTTCCTGTTAATATTAAATAAATACTATCAATTAACAAAACTGGAAATCAACCAAATCGGAAGTAAAGTACTTTTGTACTGCGTATTCATGTATGAATATGCAGATACATGAATGCACGGTACAGAAGAAATTTAATTCCAGTTTTATTAATTGCTAGTATGAATTAATGAAAATATACGTTTAAATACAAAAATATTTCAGAATGTGATGTATTGTATTCTTTCCAGAGTACATACAGAAGAGTACATTAGTACAGAAGTGTGCATTATGTACATAGTATGCAAAGTACACTTTTGTACTAATGTATTAAACATAGACAATAATGTACATTTCTGTACAATTCAATAAATGTAGAAAATAACTATTTAAAAATAACCTACAAATTTTCAGAACTTTGTATTACTAAATATACAGGGCAGACGACGCAGTTTTCAAAGTTGGAGGAAGGAGATAGGGTAGTTAAAGGGGGCACAATCATCACCTAGTAACAAAAAGTCCTCCATATCTAAAAACTTCAAAACCTTTATTTAAAAAAAAAGTCCTTTATAGAAAATGTATGTATGTATGGGGGAGGGGGTATGTGATCCCCTGATCCTCTGGCATCATCAGCCCTAATATAATCCTAATTTTTCAATGCCAATCATGTTACCATTTTTTAATTATTTGTTAGACACAAAGAACATCAAAATTGAACTAAACTTGCTGAGATATGACTTTTTTAAATTTGTGAATTTTTACGAACTGGCATCTTAAATTTGTGAATTTTTATCAATTGACACTAATATTGATGCTAGTAGTTTCTTTGCTCATTTTTGTTTTAAGTGACGTACCCTAATAATGTGTGTGTGTGTGTGTGTGTGTGTATATATATATATATATATATATATATATATATATATATATATATATATATATATATATATATATATATATATATATATATATATATATATATATATATTAGGGATAAAAATGTGTCAACTCTTAAAAAAGTCATACACCAAGAAATAAAATGGTGTGTGCCATATGTAACCATATTTTACTCCCAAAGTATATTAAGTTCTCTCAAAGTATACCCAGAGTTGGGTCTCAAAAGAGCAAAATTTTATTTTTAAATGTAACCTTAAAAAGGATATTGTAATAAAATGTCTTTAAAAAAGCCTTTTTCTAATTTTTGTTTTAAAATATTAGTTTTTTTACAATGATTTTTAGTTTATTAAAATTTATTGTAAAAAAACCCAAGCTCTCAGTTCATGTAGGGGCACTTCTTAGCTAGATAATAAGGTCAATCTATACACTGAAGCTGTTTCAGATATGCTGCACTCTTGTCTGCTAATTCAAAAGTTTTCATATAAAGTGTTACTTTATGTTAAACGCTAAAAATCAAGAAGGAAATAAAATTTGAAAAAAGTCTTTTTTATTATGAGTGCCTTTCCAAGCTAAAATCTTCAGTTGATGTACCTCATTTGCTTCACCACTATTAGTCAATGTATGTGCATGCTGCTGATCTATAGCAATGCCAGTCAGCATATGTATACATTGTCATGTGAGGAATAAAAATAAAGAAATATGTTTAAATAAAAATATTGAAGAAAATAAAAATTTTAATAGTAAAAGACAAACTTTATTTATCTAGAAAAAAAGATTTAAGTTTTTATTTTTGTAGTTTTTTTCAAAAATAGAAAATTTTATTTTATTATATATTTACGTGATAAAAATTATTTTACTTCCTCAATTAAAGAGGGCTTTTATGCTTCTTTTTATAAGTAAAAAAGATAACAAATTTATTCATTAAAATAAAATTTTAATTTTCTAAATTTAAAGAAATAAGATTTATTGTTTTTATTATTATTTATTTTAGGTAATAGGCAAGTTTTCTATTCGCTTGGTTCCAGACCAAACACCTGAAAAGATTGCAGATCTAGTAAAAGCATACTGTGAAAAAATTCATAAAGAAAGTCAAAGTCCAAATAAACTTACGTAAATCGTTTTTAAATATTTAAAAGAAAAGATCTTTGTTTTTTCAATTTAACTTTTTTTAATTTGAAATTATTTATATAAATTTATAAATTTTAATTATTTATGTTTCAAGAGTGACAATGGCTCATGGAGGCATGCCTTGGTTAAGTGATTACAAGCATCCTCACTACAGTGCAGGGATTAATTCAATGAAAAGAGGTAGATTTATTTTCTATACATTTGCTAATAGAAAACCTTGCAAACCAAGTTTTAAATTAAATTTTTTTTTTTTTTAGTTTTCAATATTACTCCTGATTTGACTCGTGAAGGTGGAAGTATACCTGTTACATTGTCCATGCAGAAAGCTACAGGAAAGAGTGTTATCTTACTTCCTATTGGTTCTTGTGATGATGGTGCCCATTCACAAAATGAAAAAATTGATAGATCCAACTTAATTAATGGGGTATTTTTTCTTATATTATATACATTTTTTTTTGTATTAATTAAAACAGGAATGTACTAATATATTCTATTTTTTTTGTATTAATTAAAACAGGAATGTACTAATATATTCTGCTCTTTTAAATTTTTGAAGTATTATCTTAAATCAATACAGTTTTTCAAACAGAAGGAAAAAAATTAAAGAAAAAATTAATTTAGTCCTTCACACCTAATATACATAGATACTAAATGCAGGGGCTATTCTAGATTGTTTTCGTATTTGGGCGCCCCAAAATACGGTCGGCGTAAATTCAAAATTGAGGATCTTTTTTTTTTTATTTTACGGCAAATATTGTTTTTTTATGCGAAAAAACGTCTACATTCGGCAATAATACCGCTGAATTTCGCCGGGGCGGTGGGGTACCGCCGCCCAAATTTTTTTCCTAGAATAGCCCCTGAAATGTTACATTTAAAAAGAATCTTTTAAATAGTAATTAGTAAAAAAAAAAAACATTTAGCTGAAATGTGATTTTTTATCAAACATTAATATTTTGTAATAAATCTTTTATCAATATATAAAAATATCCATCAAACACAGAAAAATATTTTAAAAAGTTACAATTTATCACTTTAAATTAATAAAAACATTTTTATTAATAGTTTTTTTTCTTTTTCTTTTAATAGCTCAATACACTTATCTCCATTGTTTCATCATTATTAATATAAATAGTTAATTTTTAAAATCATTTTTTTATTATCAAATAAATAAAATATTTGTAAATAAAGTATTACTTTTTATAATTTTTTTACTTTTTTAAATATTCTAAATTTTTAGATCAAAGTAATGGGTGCTTACTTAGACGAAATTTCAAAAATAGAAGATTAAAAATATATATTTACATAAAGATAAAAGTGTAATTATGAATTAAAGAATTATATGAATATATTAAATATAAAAGAATCTAAATTGTAAAAATACTTATTACTGTTATTCATTACTAATTATTCTCAATGTGAAGAACATTTCTGGCAATAGATATTATTTCATGTGATAATGATGGTCTATGTCAATCCATGGCCATTAAATACATAGTCTGGCCAGTTTAATTGTGCTATTGTTTAGCGTTTTTTTAGAACCCAGCCTACCAACGAGTGCACACTTTTTGTAAAGAAACGCGTATTAAAGAAGAATATTTACAACAAGATTGTTGATTTATCCTTGATTTTTGCAAATGCCTCGTCTTAGTTGTTACATATTTGGTTCAGTAACTTCTCGAAGAAGTATAAATGTTTTTTTTATTTGAAATATCTTCTTTCGATTATGCTTATAACAAAGAGTTTTACAAATTATAACTAAAAATATATCTTTAGTTATAATATATTATAACTAAAGATAAAATATGATACAGTAATCAGATGTTAGGATCGACAAGTTTACTACTACCTTCAATAAATCAACTAGTTAAGAGTTTTACCATTGGCAAATCTTTCTTTATGGAAGGTATAGTAGTTTCTCATACTACTAAAGCTCAACTCAAAAAAATCAACTTTTTCTTCTGAATCAGATGAAAGTTCATATTTAAATATTAACATTTAAAAAGATCAATGTTTAATACTAATAGTGTCTAACCTTACTTCATTGAAAAAAAATATCAAAGACCCTCAATATTAAACTAAGGCTCATATATATTTATTTTGCAAACATATAAAGGGATCAGTGTCCACTGTCAGTTTAGTTATTGATATAACGGGTGTTCACTTGAAATCCGGACTGATTTTAAGTCAATATAAATCTGACATAATGTATTGCAATTGTACCATGTGATACATTATTTTAAAGCGTTTAAATTTAGCTTTAATATGCTACATTTATATTTAGATTGAATGATTATTCAAATTGAAAATGAAACCTAAACAAAACGACACTCGAAAACGTGTGTACAACTTCTATATTGAAAATAAAGAAAAAGGCAAAAAGTACACCGTAGATCATTTTGAAAAAGAAAAAACTGCCAGATCGACCATCTATGATATAATTAAACGTGCTGATGACGATTCTGGATATCTTAGACGTCCTGGTTCAGGAAAAAAAGCTCTAAAAATGACCCAAAAAAAAATACAAGCGTTAAAATCAATGTTTGATCATCATGATCATCATGATGGCGTTTCTTATAGGAAAGCAGGTAGAAAATTTAGAATATCAGCTTCTTATGCCCATAAAATTATTCAGACAAAATCAAAGATCAAGAAAAGAAAGAAGAAAAAGATTCCACATCGAACTGATGATCAAAAACTGATGGCAAAAACAAAGTGTGGTAGATTATATCGAGCTTTTAGCAAATTTGATTGGATCATTGATGATGAATCTTATTTTCCTCTTTCTCATTCATCAACCAACGGAAACGATAACTTCTACACAAGTGACATAAACCTCTGCCCATCTAGTGTCAAATATTATACAAAGCGAAAGTATGAACCCAAGCTCCTGGTCTGGGTAGCCTTTTCTGTAAAAGGAATGTCAAAAATTCTAATCCGTCAAAGTGGTCTTGCAATCAATCAAAAAATCTACTTAGAAGATTGTATTAAGAAACGTCTTATTCCTTTTATTAAAGAGCATCATCAAGACAGTCAATTCGTATTTTGGCCAGATCTGACGACGTCTCATTATGCTAAATCTGTTCAAGCTTATTTAAATGGACAAAACGTCAGATTTGTACCAAAAGAAGATAACCCTGCAAATGTACCAGAAGCAAGACCTATTGAGGATTTTTGGTCAATAATAAAAGGTTTAGTTTACAAGGATAATTGGCAAGCAGAAAATTTAGAACAACTAAGGAAAAGGATAGTGTATTGCTTCAGCAAAGTTGATATCAATCTTGTACAAGAGTTTGCAAAGGGTATTTTATCAAGAATTGATTCTATAAGAAGAAAAAATTTAATTGAAAATAAATAAAATATCCTATTATAGAGAATTAAATGTTAATTTTAAATCATATTTTATTTTTTTAAGTTGATAAAAAATAAGGGAGTTATGACCCTTTAAAGTTAGTCCGGATTTCAAGTGAACACCCGTTACCTAAATACCATTTGAAAATAGGTTCGAGTTGTAAATGACTATGATAACATTTTTTAGATAATTACTCTCGCCAACAACGAGCCATAGGAAGTGGAAAGGGTAACTCATTTTTAAATGATATTGGGTATAATGATAGTGATGCAATAAGGAACCTATATACTTTCAAACCAATAATAAAAATAGTAACTTTAATAATAAAATCTTGAACAATAATCCAAAGACTAAAAAAATGGCTATTTTAATAGTCACCAATCTCAAAACATTTAGTATAAAATAAAAGATGAAATTTTTTTATACATATACATTTGTCGTTAGTATTTGTGAGTAAAGATTCGAATCTTAAATAAAGAAATGTATTTATTGTTGCCTTTATATCATACACTGTGCGAAATAAAGAGGACACTAAAGTAAGGTTAGTGGTAATTGGAGTGTCAAAAGGTACATTGTCAATCTTGAAAAATTTCCTTGGAGGCTAAAAAGTGACTTATTAAGTTAAAGTTGTGTGAAGGAAATGTGTTACAACAAAGTCTTAATAATATTTCAAAATTTTATAAATAAAACTCGTAAAATTATTAAAATACTTAAGTGATAAAACAATCGCTTTAATCATTACATCATATGATATTATTATTTAAAGTAAAAAATTACACAACTTTATTTAATTTTCACTTTATTATTGCATTTTTCAATCATTATTAGTTAATTATTAAGCTTCAATTTCCGCATTATTAAGCTTGAAATAAGGAAAAAAGTTGAACGGTTTTTGAAAATGTCATCACACAAAAATTACTTTAAGTGAAAAAAACGGTTTTGTCCCCATGATTACGCACAACCACACCCTCACAAAAATCGTTTTGGCTACGCTTTTAGCCGTATATTTTCTTTACAATTCTCACAGCTCAGATTATTTGCTGATTTTGTTGCACCTTTGCATACTGTGTAGGCATTCTTTGTATATACAGTCTGAATTTTCTCATTCGATATATATATATATATATATATATATATATATATATATATATATATATATATATATATATATATATATATATATATATATATATACATATATATATAAATTTTTTATACATAAATATAACTGATATATAAAATGATGGATTGAACGCTCAATCCATCAACGCTTTCAAAAGCAACATAAGAAAGAAATTTTATAGATACAGCTGTTGCTTTGTCTGTAGCGTCTGTATCTCTATGTTCGTCAACATAGAGGGGCCTGGTGTCATCAAATTATAAATGGATTTTTGTATTTGTATTTGATCATTGAAATAAATAATAATAACAAGAAACAGATTTATACTCTTAGCTTTATATTTTAATCAAAAACTCATTTAGGCAAATTGAATAAAAAAAATACAAAATCTAATTTCCAATATCACAAACAAAAATATTTATATTCAAGTTTTTACACGAACGCATTCAAGTGTGACTATTGTAATTATTGTCTTTCGTAGTTAGCTAACTTCGGTAAATATCAATAGTATGCGGTTGTGCCTCCTGTGCGTCTATGCGGTTCTGAGGACAGTTTTTAGAAAGAATACAGTTGCATAGCTTGCTTATTAGGTTATGCTGATAGCAAATGGTTTTCACTTGATGAAATAACGCTGATAACATATATTTTTAACACTAAAATCAAATATTGCTTTATCCTCAAAAGAAAGGTCTGAAAAAATATGATGTAAATATAATATTTTTATCAAAATAAACATTACTAAACACAACCTAACGCAACAGGCACTCATAAGCGAAATGAAGGGAACTGTTTTACGAACGCTTGGTATGTTTTTTATCATATTAGATTGACTAGTCAATCTAAAAAAAAACGACTATAATTATAGTCTTTAAAAGTATAAACTTTATAAAGACTATAATATGTCTTTAAAAAGTTTATACTTTTCATTGATATATAGTCACCTAAGTTATGGTAACATGGCCTGGGCAAGTACAAATTATACTAAGCATAAAAAACTCTACAGTAAACAAAAACGTATCTGTGGAATTGTCTTTGGAGTAAGTAAAAAAACGTCTTATGCAAACTTGGAGCGTTGAATATATACAAAATTAACGTACATCTTGTTTTACAGTATATGTACAAAATAAAATATATATAATATATAATATGTATTATAAAATAATACATATAAATAATATAATATCTCCACCGATATTTCAACCCTATTTTAGCGAAATAAGTCATAAATATCCTACTAGATTCTCATATAACAACTTCATCATTCCGAAATTTACATTAAAGTTAAATTCATACTTAGTCCAAAACCGCATACCTTATATGTGAAACCGCATACCTTATATGTGAAACCGCATACCTTATATGTGAAACCGCATACCTTATATGTGAAAAAATTTTCCCAAGATTTTTACTATCAAAAGAAGTTGAACAATTTAAATTTGAATTAAAGCTTTTTTTATTATCTACGGACTTAAATTTTCTTTTTCTTTTTCAAAAAAAAAAATTTAAACTAGCACAGTTTATTTCTTTTATTTGCATTTACTTTTATTTGTTCTAAATTTATTTTACAAAACGAATTTATATATTAACAGTTATATTAATTATGAAACATAGTTTTACACACTTTATATATTTTTTGAAAAATACAACTTATAAAATACAATTTATAAAATAGCATAATTACATAATAAATAATTACATAATAAATAACATAATAAAAAACAAAATACAATTTATAAAATAACATAAAATAATAAAACAAATAGAAGGCTGTCACATGTCATAAGCATTTATCACGGTTTTATATATTTTATTCTAAAAAACAACCTGTAAACCACAATAGGGCTCGGTGATGAGACAAACTGATGTCTTCTTCTTGCTTCAGCCATTTGTTTTATTACTTTATGTTATTTTATAAAATGTAACTTTATACGGCATAATTAAATAATAAAATAAAAAATAAAATAAAAGTCTACAACAGTTAAACTTCGATCTTTCTAATTGGTTTGTTTTGGTGATAAGTGTCTTTTCAAACTATTCAATGAATTGGGGAGATTCCATCCAACCTGGGGTCAATGTTATAAAACTTTTTATCGGCGTAAATGCTAGCGGCTGTAAATTTTATCGGCGTAAATGATTTGTTTCAATGTTATAAAAGTTTTTTCAAAATTACCGTCGATAAATTTCTACAGGCGAAACGTTTACTTGCGATAAATGTTCCGAAGAAGCGACCTACGGAAATTTTTGCTGAAGATCCAGAGATGAATATTTAGTTGTAGAAACCTGTGGTTTAGAACTTTTCAAAGTACTTACCTTGAGTTGAAAACTTATTACAAATTCATTAATATTAATTAAGTGCACATTGCTTGGTAAATTTTAATTTCAAGCGATATCTTTGTTAATATTTTTTACTGAATTTGTCATGTAAGAAATGTCATTCTCAAAATTTAAAACTGCTCTCATTATAGGTACGTGGAAATATCCGTTTTACGGAACCGAATATTGTGCTAAAAAACTGTGCCACGCTATTTAGATTTTTTTTTTAGCTAGCGTAGGGAAGACGTGTTTAGTTGAAAAACATTTTAGAATTTGATATCAATATAGATTATTTTTAGAAACTAGAATAGTTAAACTTTATTATTGTGAGGTTTATTATTTTACTAGAGGGCTTTTTTATTGAGTTTTTTTATGTCTAAAACTTTGTTGTACTTTGGGCATTAAATTAATGTCGAAGATATGCTCATTTTTTTTTCTATACTATTCTTTTTTTTAAGTTTTTCATTTATCTATGCACCTGGCAAATTTCATTGAAAAAAAAGTTGTAGCAGGGTGTCTATTTTTTGTCGCACTTTTGGTACCTAATTTTCATTTTGCTGAAGTGTTTGCGGGAGACAGAGGGGTTGAATAAACATTGTTTATATTTGATTTTGATTAAATAAATTTTTTTTTTTTTTTTTAGATTAAATAAAATGGAAAGTAAAGCTATTGATAAAAGTTTTTAATATTGTTTCCTATTTATTAAGATTTTAAAAAAATTATTTGCCTTCAATGTAAAGTTATTATTAAATGAATTTTAATGTTTCATTACTTTAAAGTTGAATTTTTTAAAAATGTAACTGACATATTAGTAATATTATAACATATTTTATCTTACATTGTAAGTCTCTCCAATATCTATTGCAATATGCTACTACTTGTTGTATCATGCATCTTTTTCTAAAAAAGATTTAGTCTTTTACTCTCAATATTCAATTATATATCTTTATTATGCTATATTTTTTGTGCAGATTTTTGTGCATCCACGAAGTTTTTTTACAGTTGTTTATTAATATATTCCTGATTGTTTCAGGCTTTTTATTGAATCATTGTTATTTTTTTTTTCTATAGACAATTTAGAACAAACTATTAGTAAATAAAGTTTAAAATATCTTAGTTATTTAGTCATTTAAACTTTTTTTTTTGTAATGTTAGTGTTATAACTTAATCTTATAATAAGGTAAGCAATTTAAAGTTGGCTTTTAGGCGAGTTTAGACAGCAGATTTGTAATTTTAGTAAATTTTAATAATTTCAATGGTATAGTTTAATGATACATGCTAACTAAAGATTACTTAATTGATACACAAGCTCAAGGTGTTTAATTTATTGATACACACTAGCTAAAGATGTTGTAACAAAAATTGTAACTTGAAGTTAAGTTTATTTTAGTAAACATTATATTACTATTGTTATTACTTATTTCTTTTTAATTCTTAAGTAACACTTACTTCATTAATTGGTAAGAGATTAATGTGTATTTTTATGTGTATGTATTGAGAAATATAGTCTGATTTTGTGTATTATGCAGTATTGTACTATTTAATATGTACTATGTTATTGTATATTTAATATGTACTATATATGTATATTTAATATGTAATATTTACATGTACCATTTAATCTTTTGTGTCATTGTATTATTTAATCTTTAATATCCTTGTCATCTGTTGCAGCTGGTAAGGTTTCTATATTATTAATTTGAGAGATAAGTTTGTTAAATGCTCAGTTCATGTAGCGCGTATAAATAGAGTTAGCAATCGATTGCATCAGGCTAAAATAAGAGCCAATATTTATCAAAGACAGGCATCCAAGCTCAAAAGAATCGATGAAAAAGAAAAAAGCTAGAGCAAAAAAAGTTAGAGCATTAGCTATCCAAACTTAGTTATGATGAAATTATAGATTCATACAAAAATTTGTCTAATGACCAACTTTATAATTTAGAAGATGTCATGTATAGAAGAATTGTAGGCAAAAAACTATATCATAAATGATATGATCCTAAACATCCAAGCCTGTTTTGTATAATGGCAGAGTAGATAAAGTATTTAGTTGAAAAAATGACTTAGTTTGCACTATTTCTTACTGGAAAGATGATGAAACATATATGGAAGCTGTTAATCATTCCATGAAAAAGATCCAGCTTGTTGCAGATGTTATTTCAGAAGAGTTACAATTTTATTAATTTTATATTATATTAATAAAACACTGTGAAAGTACAAGTTTGAAATTTAAGCTAAAAAAGTACTACAAATGAATTGCTGAAAAATACTACCAGTGTTGTGACTAGCTAAAAGAAATTTATTATTGTAATCATTCATTAAAAGCCAAGACAAAACTATATGAAATAAAAAATAAACAAACCATTATTATTTCTTTTTAATAACATTTTATTTGTTTTTTAGTTTGAAACAGCCAAAGCGCTATTTGAAAGATTTAAAAATTATTAAAGGTTGGTTAATAAAATGGATATCAAAGCTGTAGAACATTGCATGAAAAAGTTTCAGCTTGTTGCAGATATTGTTTCCAGAGAGTTGACTAGATATTATTTTGTTAAAACACTGCAAATATATAAATTTGAAATTTATAGATTAAAAAACTGCTGTGACTTGTTGAAAAAAAAAAAGTACTGCTAGTGTTGTGACTTGCTAAAAAAAAGTACTGCAAGTGATGTGACTTGCTAAAAATAGTACTGCAAGTGTTGTGACTTGCTAAACAAAAGTACTGCAAGTGTTGTAACTTGCTATGTATTTTTGATAGGCGACTCTGGCTTACCTTCACGTGGTGTCTATTGTTAAAAATGATTATAAAATAATTTCATTAGTATAGTTTATCATTGTAATCACTCACTAAAAGCCAAGAAAAAACTTTATGAAATAAAGCATCATTAAAATAATCAAACATTATTTAGTGTTAATAACATTTTTTTTGGTTTTTAGTTTGAAACAGCCTAACTTTTTGTTAACCAAACTAGTATCAAGCACTATATGAAAGATTTGAAGATTTATAAAGGTTGGCAAATACCTTGTTTTGATTACCTTTTTACCATTATTGACTGATAATAGAAGTCACTCTGTATGAGAATATTTTAACCAAAAATTCTCCAATTAATCAAAAATGCTTTTTTAAAAAAAAAAAGATTAATTTGGGGAAAGGGGGGGGGATAGCCCATCTCTTTTGAGAATGGATGCAACACTGATGTAACTTTTACCGGGTAAGATATATTTTTTACTTCTTTGTTGTTGTTCTTTAAATAACCAATCAAATATTTCATAATTAAAATTTTTTTGCTATATTAGGGTGGTTAAAACATGGTCAACACATTTAACATGAGTTTTACACTTACCTTCAATGTTTGGTGGTTGTCTAGTATTAATTTATAGAACCTTTTTTATATAGAAAATAACTTTGTTTTGGGACTTTAGGAAACAGTAGTTGTGTCATTTTAATTTTTTTTTAATTTTTTTTTCAGGTTGGGGTTATTCTCCCCTCCCATACATCGATGTAAACACGACTTAAATTCGTAATAGTAACACCACGTAAATTCTTGTAGAACATAATTTTATATTGTATACTAATTGAATTCATTTTAGTAAAGATAAAAATATTTATGAAAACAAGTCTTATATGATACTAGGGTGTATCAAACCATCACCACCACACCCACCTCCAACGTTAACATACACCTCTCATATACTCTGGTGGTTAAATATAAATTTATAACAATGTTTTTGTATATTTAAAATACTTATGTGTTGAAAAAACTTTTTTTGTGAATAAAATGTTTAGTTTCATACGGGTAAGGTGATGGTTTGGTGCCCCCTCTGTCCATCCAATACACCCGGTGGATATTTGTATTTCGATTAGAATTAATAAAGTTATGACAATTTAAGTGAAGAAAAACATAATTTTGACCACAGTTTCTTCAACAATTCCATATATCGAAAAATCGGTACTTAAACTGTCATAACTTTTTAAACCGATTGTTTGTTTTTGATAATTTTTTCACCTTTAAAATACTGTATTGGTCCTTTTTCTAATGATATATAAGAGTAGAATATTTAAACAATTTGAAATTTTTACTCATGTACCCTCATTAACTACTTTTTAGAAAAAAATTGCTTATAAATTTTGTACTTTCATTCAACTTATTATTTATAACCCAAATTCTGAGCTTCTTTTTATCTAATTTTTTTCTTTTCTGTTGTGATTTAATATTTTTTGTTAAACTTATTAAATTTTACAAAAAATATTAAAACACAACAGAAAATAGGAAAAAAAGTAGATAAATACTATTTATCTATTTAAAATAGTAGCTCAGAGTTAGGGTTATAAATGATAAGTTGAAGGAAAGCATAAGATTTATAAGCAATATTTTTCTAAAAAATAGTTAAAGTTATAAAGTATAAATAACCAGTTAATTATTATTTTAATCTTTCTTAAACTGAAATTTTTTCTCTTTATCACTATAATTGGTAATATTATTATTACTATACTTTTATTGTTTTAAATATTATTATTCTTACTGTTGTTAATATTGTCATAATTTTTTTTTAAATTACTGTTTTTGTTATATTACTGTTGTTGTAATTATTGTTATTATTATTATTGTTGTTATTTTTACTGTTATTTTTGCTGTTATTATTAAAATAGTATAGTGTATACTTTTTAAAAATCTATACTATTACTTTTAATCGCTGTTATTACAACTATTATATATATATATATATATATATATATATATATATATATATATATAATATATATATATATATATCATGGCCTACTATAATTACACGGCCAGATATCTTGCTTTTCTGAGCAAAAATTAGAAGGGTAAATTTAAGACTTTCTTAAGCGTCTTTAAAAATTTGATTGTAAAACTGGATATAAAAAGAGAGAGAATCAAATTGATTTCATTCCTGAAAAGCATTCACTTTTTGGATTTCAGGAAAATAATCCTGACTTATTTAAACAGTGGGTAGCATTTGTCAATCGAAAGTTATAGCAGCCAAGTAAAGAATTCGCTATTTGTGCTAAACATTTTGAAAGTAAAATTAAAGAATTCAGTAAAGAAAACAGTAAAGAATTCGGCTATTTGTGCTAAACATTTTGAAGAAAAATATTTAAAAATTGGCAAAAGACTAACATTAGTTTAGGATTGAAATCCCGTTCCAACTATTTATTGCTTAACTGAAAAAATACCACTATCAGTATATCAATTTACTGAATTCTAAAGGTATATTCCCTGCTTTTAATTTTAATCAGTTTCATGATGTTATTGATGTACATGCTGGTGAAATATCATGGATGTTACTTCATGATGTATATGATAAAGACCAATTATTTCAGTCAAATTTCAAAAAAAGGTTTTAAATTATTTTATAAATTACTTCATCCAAGAGATAATAAACAAAGTGTACCACTTGCTCTTGCAATATTTGATCCTTCAACTTCTGCATCTATTGAAAGTTATTTTCCAGATAGGACTGATGCCTCAAGCTTTTTAAAGTTGATAATTACATGGTGGACAATAAGTAACAGAAAGCAAATATATAACAACAATTTTTGTATTGGAAATGCAGCTGTTATGGGTGACATGAAACCTTTATTTTTGAGGAAACTAGCCAAATGGATTGAGAATTAGCAATTATCTCAAGTTTCAAACTCTCAAAAGTTTATATTAAGTAAACAAACATCAGAAGCGTGAAGATCCACTTTAAGATGCACAGCTTCACTTATTTATGATTTAATTCAAGAAGGGTATCATTATTTTTTAGTATCACGCTTGCAAACTGATCCATTAGAACTAATATTTTTAAAGTATCGTCAAATAAGTGGTGGCAGATTTTTAATTGGTTTGGGTGAGCTTGAGACATCTGAGTGCATATTAACTTTGAAAACTTTACTTAAAGAGTCAGTCAATATCTGGAAGGAAGCTGTTTGAAAAGAGAGTCATAATATATCTTTACTTAAATTATTTAATGATAAATTACATGAAATTTTACCAGATATTGAAGAATGCAGTTTAGATTCAGAGAGCTTTGAAGTTGCTGCATTTATTTCTGGTTATGTGGTTAAAAAGTTTAATAAAAAGATCAAATGTGGTATTTGCAAAACTTTTCTATTAGCTGAATCTGGTGAGCTACAATGTCAATATTTAGAAAAACTTTCTCGTGGTGGATTGATTTTACCAGCTATTGATCTTACACATTATGTTGCCAAAGCATTTGCAATATTAGATACTGGGTACTTAGATTAAATGATTGTGCTTCTTCATTCTTATGCGATGAACATCAAATTAT